GGGAAGAAAGAGCAGGGAAGAAGGAGGTCACAAATTGAAACTGTGGCCCAGAGAGGTTGGAAAGCTGCTCAAGGTCACACAGCTAGTAATGGCTAAAGCAGGAGTCATACCCGGTTTCAAGGACTATTGTACTCCTCTCTCTGATATGGTCTTTCCCTGTCTTCCTTTTTGTAGAACCATCGAGAAGGGTATATTTGGGGGCCTCTATGTTTGAGAGAAGTTATAACTCAGAAGACCTAGGAAGGACTTGGATTCAAGGAGGCAGAGTAGTAAGAGGAAGCTGTCCGTTCAAGGCTGGCAGGAAGGTCTGAGCTTTCAACAAGAGTTGTACTGGGAACCTTGGGAGGGTCCAGCTGGCCCAGCAAGATAGGGAAGGAAAAGAGCAAGATGGTCAGGGAAGATGCCCATCTGGGGCATAAACAAGGTGCAGTGGGCAAGAACGCCACCTTACTAGGTTTTTCAAGGCCCAACTGACACTTGATGGAGGACAGAAACAGGAGAAGGAGGAGACCCCCACATGGGCAATGGAACAGAGAAACAGGAAAGAAAGGGAATAACGAAAACTATAAAAATAGTGAATGTTCAGTCTTTTAAGCCTTGTGAATAAAAGGGCTAATTTAACATCACAGTAAGCTATCAGGTTAGCTACTATTAATTACTATTAATCATCAGATATTAAATAATTGTTATAAATAGTATTAGCAATACCAATAATACTATTATTGGTGCATTTTACAGATGAGTACATGGAGGCCCAGAAAGACCAAGTCACTTTCTCATAGTAACTCGCCTGGTAAATTTTAAACCCGGACAATCTAGTTGGAACACTCATTCTCTTAACCATTTCACTTAGTAGCAACCCCAGAGAACTTTTCAAAACAAAATTTAATCTGAGTTGAGTCTACTTTGATTTAACACAGTAATTTTAATGCCTGCTATTTTCCCAGTAGTTTATAATTAGTAAAGAGCTTGTCCTCCATCATTCTGGAATCTCAGCCCTACCATTTACTTGCTGTGTAACTTTAGGCCAGTCACTACTTAAGATTCAGTTTTCCCATCTGTGAAGTGGAAACAATAATATTTGTTGGGAACATTAAAGGAGAAAAGGTGTGTGCAGGGCTTAGCCTTATGCCAAGCCCACAAGAAGCACTCAATAAGTATTTGCTGCTAATGTGGTGGTGATTATATTAATCTAGTGAGATATAACAACCTGTGAGGAAGGTAGGATTTATCCTCATTTCCCAGATGTGGAAACCAAAACTCATAGAAGGGAAATAAGTAACTAACCAGAAAGGCAACGGCCAGCAAGTGAAAATGCCAGACCTGGAAAATGCCTGGTTTCTGCTCCATGCCTCCTGTCCTGCTCCAGCCCTCCACTCCACCCCATCTCTTCCCCAGCCGGCACTGTTATATGAACATATACGATCTTTATAAGGTTATAAGATCATTCTTCAAATAGAAAATTTGAAGCAATTGGAAGTCAAGGCTCAGAAAGAGGCTCTGAGAAATATTAAGACAGTTTTCAAGGTGAAAATAGGTTACTAAGTCTGGACAGATGAGCGGCACCTTCTCTCAACCCCAGCAACTGCCAGAGGGGCAGAAGGGCCTGAGGTCACACATTGTGATGGACACTAGGCTGAGGAGCCACAGTGGCTCAGCCTTGGATGAGGGAGTAACAGAAGGTGGGAGTGTATTCACTTTACAGATAAACAGAGTTGTGTTTCTAAACACTGTTGAAAATAATCAGCTACCGGGTTAAAACAGCATTCCTCTTTGGCTTTCAGTTTTGTTTTCTCTCTTTGGTTTCCTGTAATTCTGCATTTCAATGCACTTGTTCAGTTTTCTGTTAGTACATCCTGTTCTGGTACCTGGTGCATTCAGTTCTTCAGGCTACAGGCAAAGGGCTATTATAAAGTCAGTCCATCTTCCAAGGTGTGAGATCTTAGCAAACTTCTTTAAGACTCACTTTCTTTGTCAGTACCAGTAGTATGATTGGGAGATTCTGGAAACTGGGGTATCTGGGTTTGAGGTCAGCCATCCCAGACTGGAAACCATGTGCTTCTCCCTACTACAGTATGTGAAACCTTCACCATTATTTTCTTCCTTTTTAAAGTAAATGAAAATTCTCCTTTTTGTATCTTTTAGCAGTAAGGCGTTTTTAAAAAAACTCTTTGATACATGCTACTTGCAGAGCTTCATTTCAGTAACATTCCAATGATTTATTCAGTAAATCATTATTGGACACCCACTCTATGCCAGGCACTGTGATAGGCAGCCATAACATAACAGAGAAGATGGACTCACACAGTTTATAGTGATCCATCCCTTGTAATTATGCATAGCTTTGTTAACAGCTAAAAAGAGATACACCACCTACTTTGGATTTCCCCCCAGCTTCTAGGACATGGTATAGGCCATGGTAGCTACAAAATAGTCTCAGAATTTAGCTTAACTAATGAATCACCCTGTTAAAAATGTATTCACTTTTTTATAACTAGGTGATATTCTACTTATGCCCACAAGGTGGAGATCTTGTTTATAGTTAACCCAAGCTCAAGGCGCTGCATTCCAAAAAAAGAGAAAAATCTCAGAAATTAAAACAAAAGACAAAAAAACTAAATTCGGTTTATTGAGCACCTATTTAGTGTAATACACTATGTTAGATGGTAAGATAAACAAAAGGTTAATAAGACATAGTCCCTGTCCTCTCAGGAAAGATAGAGGGTAAGGAGCTTGCACAGAGCAGGAAGGTAGTACCTTTTAATCAATTAATATGTTTTGATATATATGTGTGGGAGCCATAGTAATCTCACCAGATAAGATCAATAAAAAGGGATGATATAGCTGTGCTGTACAGAACAGATTCAACATAGACTCCACACTCCAGCCAATATGGAAACACTTGAAAGGCATACAGGGTGAAAGCTGCAAGGACCCAGATGCGGTCTTTTGATGCCTCTGGGTGTCTGCCTTACAATTCTAGAACATTCATTCTTTGGAGAATAAAATATAATCAGTGCCAGCTGATGAGCTAATTGAGTTAAAACCCTTCACATGGTTTCCTTTTTTTATCACCCCAATGGGAGGATAAAAAGAAAGAAACACACCTAAGAAAACATTTCAAATTCCTGCTTTGAGGAGGTGGGTTAAACCGCCACCTCCACCTGCCTCTTACCTGGGAATCTGGGTTTGGAACTAGGCTGCACGGTGGTGCAGAGAGAGGAGGAAGGCTGACTTTTATCCAAGAGCCTTCCTGGTGGGCTGAACCCAAAGGTGGCTGGAAAAGAATATGGTGGTGGAGTTTTGTTCTGTTTGTTTGGGGATTTTTTGTCGTTTGTTGTTCGTCGTTCCTGCACCCCACCCCACCCCACCCCCCAACCATTTCTTTTTCCCTTTAACCATTCAAATCAAATGCAATACAGGGATTTTTTTTTCACTTGTTGAATTGAAAATCACATTTGGGGGATAAAGTGACTGGTTAAATGAGGCTGAGTAAAAAAAATAAGAATGCAGGCAACTAGAGAAAAATAAGGAACTTTCTTGATGAATAAAATCAAGTGGTGTGCTGCCAGGAGACCAGAGTTGGAATCTCAGTTTCTCCACTTGCTAACACTGGGATCTTGAGCAAATCCATGCCTTTTCCTTGACTCAGTTTCTTTCTGGGCAAATAGTATATCTTTAGAGGAATCATTTCTGACACCATCTTCCTCCCCGGCTCGAGGTCGTATCCTGGGTTGTGCTCTTACAGCAACCTAGAAATTGGCTGAACGTTTCCCTAGAAATAAGTTCCATGAACACGGGAAAGATGTGTGGATTTTATTGCTCCCAGACTGACGCTTTGTTGAACTGATGAACCAACAAATGGGAGCTAACTTAGGTGTTCTACTTGCACAGCGATGTTTAATACCCTGTGAGTCCCTTGGGAAAGTAGGAGCGAGCAACCTCCTCAAAGCGCACCAGCTCACAGACACCGGTGGTGACGAGCGAGCTCGGAAACGGGGTGTCGGTTCAAAGTTGTTTGCCACATATGGTGCCACCAACCCCGCTGGTGTCACATCCTCTGTGGCTCGGAAAGATTCCCAGGGATTTATATAAGGTAGGGTGAATCACACCGTCGAAATAGAGAAGGCAAAGGCTCACGCCCCAATCCTCGCCCGGCTACGCCCAGAGCACCCTGAGAGTTAAGTCTGAACTTTCCAGGAGGCCAGGCGCTGCCCAGACGCAGGGACTTGGCGACCACTCCAACCCTTGAGAGGGACGCGGGCTCGACCGACCCACCCAGAGCCACTCCTGCCCTGTGCCGCCCCCTACCACACCCCCACGCTGACACCGCCCGCCGGGCTTCCTCTGGGCCCCGAAATCCCCAACCGAGTGTGGGGCCGCCTCTCCTGCTAGGAAGGAGCCATCGCCGCTTTAAGGGAAAGAGGAGGGGAAGGGGCGGAGGAGTGGGGGGCGGGGAGCGGCGGTTGAGGAGGGGGAGGAGGATCCCCCTCGCTCCCACGTGGTCCGGGCGCTTGTGAATCGCGCCCGCCTGAGGGTCTCACAGCGAAATACAAAAGCAGCTGGGAAGAGGCGGCGAAGCTAGTTCCCAGCGCCGGGCAGAGCCCCGCAGGGCCCCGCAGGCGTGATGGGGCTGAGGCACCCGGAGCTCCCGAGCCAACAAGCTGCCCGGCCCGCCTCGCCGCCGGGACGCCGGCGCCCGGGCTCGGCTTGAAGCAGCGGCGGCACCGGCACGGCCGGGGAAGCATGGGCAGGAGGATGCGGGACGCCGCCGCCACCGCGGGACTCTGGCTGCTGGCGCTGGGCTCGCTGATGGCGCTGTGGGGCGGGCTCTTGCCGCCGCGGACAGAGCTGCCCGCCTCCCGGCCGCCCGAAGACCGACTCCCGCGGCTCCCGGCTGGGAGCGGCGGCTTGGAGCCTGCTCCTCGCTTCCCTCTCCCCCCACCCCTGGCGCGGGATGCCCGCGGCGGCTCCCTGAAAACTTTCCGCGCGCTGCTCACCTTGGCTGCCGGCGCGGACGGTCCCCCTCGGCAGCCCCCGGACAAGCGCAGGCGACACGTGCCAGCCGGACTGCCCCGGCCGGAGGAGCGTGCCGCGGTGCGCGGGGGTATCTTCTGGAGCCGCGGCCTGGAGGAGCAGGTGCCCCGGGGTTTTTCGGAGGCCCAGGCGGCAGCGTGGCTGGAGGTGGCTCGCGGCGCCCGGGTGGTGGCCCTGGAGCATGGGAGCTGCGGGCGCAGCTCCAACCGGCTGGCCGGCTTCGCCGACGGCACCCGCGCCTGCGTGCGCTACGGCATCAACCCGGAGCAAATACAGGGCGAGGCCCTGTCCTACTACCTGGCGCGCCTACTGGGCCTCCAGCGCCACGTGCCGCCTTTGGCACTGGCCCGGGTGGAGACTCGGAGCGCGCAGTGGGCGCAGGTGCAGGAAGAGCTTCGTGTCGCACACTGGGCCGAGGGCAGCGTGGTAAGCCTGACGCGTTGGCTGCCCAACCTTACTGACGTGGTGGTGCCCGCGCCCTGGCGCTCGGAAGACGGCCATCTGCGGCCCCTCCGTGCCGCCGGGGGCGAGCTAGCCAACCGCAGCCAGGCGGAGCTGGTGGACCTGGTGCAGTGGACTGACTTGATCATCTTTGACTACCTGACAGCCAACTTCGACCGGCTTGTTAGCAATCTCTTCAGCCTGCAGTGGGACCCGCGCGTCATGCAGCGCGCCACTAGCAACCTGCACCGCGGCCCTGGCGGGATGCTGGTCTTTCTGGACAACGAAGCGGGCTTGGTGCACGGCTACAGGGTGGCGGGCATGTGGGACAAGTATAACGAACCGCTGCTGCAGTCAGTGTGCGTGTTCCGCGAGCGGACAGCGCGGCGCGTCTTGGAGCTGCACCGGGACCGGGACGCAGCAGCCCGGCTGCTGCGCCTCTACCGTCACCACGAGCCTCGCTTCCCGGAGCTGGCCGCACTCGCCGACCCCCACGCTCAGCTGCTACAGCGCCGCCTCGATTTCCTCGCCAAGCACATTTTGCACTGTAAGGCCAAGTACGGCCGCCGCCCGGGAACTTAGCTTCACCCGGAAGAAAAGAAGCGGAGACCCCTGGCTGGGGAATGGAGGATGGGGGAAGGGCCGTCGCCCGTGCAACTGCCTGGGACCAGCCGGGCAACGCCCAGCCAGTGGCCCCAGCGCAAAGGGGCTAAAAATTTCAGCTTCCCCCACCTGCCCCTTTTTCTCTCTCCCATGCTGTTTGGTTTCAAAGTTCTGGGAAAATGAACTCATTGAGGCGAGCAGTGTAACATTCCCTCCACCCAGCCTATAAAAGGATTCTGCACTGTGCCTGCACGGAGTTTGGATCTGAAGACACAGGCTGCCGGAGTTTGGCCCCCCGGTGGCCGTCTCTGTGGGAGATGCATCCCATTCCTTGGCGCTCTCATTCCCTTTCCGAAAAAGGAAAACTTGTGTTTCAGCCGCGAAGCTGATTCTTCAATTTCCTACCAAACGCAGTGCTGGTGGCCCCGGAGAGGGCTGTGACATTGGCTGGTGGAGCCCCGTTCCTGTGTTCTCCCTTTGTTCCAGCTCGGTGATGGTGAGATCACTGTTAGGAGCGGGGAACGGCTCTGGTAGGACAAAGACAGCAGGACCTCCGAAACTGAGGGAATTCTTCAGACCCTGACAATTTATCTGACTTGCCCCTTATCGCTCTTCATTTCGTCCTGAAGCCTTTACAAATGCAGAGCCAGCTGTGTGAACTGAGTCAAATAATGAATTTCTTCCCCAACCAACCGACCAAAATTTTGACAATGATGATGTTTTCACCAGAGGGGAAAAAAAAAATCCGTTTCATGCACTTTACTTTGTTTTTATTTTAATTTTTTATTAAGAAAAACTTTTTTGACAAAATTTGCCTTCTGTGTATATATGTGCATAAAATGTGGTGTAAATATACTAAAACTTATATATTTCAATAAAAGGGGGTTTAAAATTTAGGATTTAATTCTTGTGGTTTTAATTTGCCTTCTCAGTATATATGTCAATTAAGTGTAGTGTAAATATATACTAAACAAGCTTATATGTCAATAAAAGGGAGTTTTAAATTCAGAATTCTTGTGGCTTTAAAGGTTTGTGGTACCTGATGCCTACCTGCTTTTAGAATAAGCTTAGGGTTTCCTCCTTGTGGGTGTGCTTTTAAAACAAAGGGTGCACATATATCCCAGTTGTGACTGTGGAACTTACAGATTTGAACAAAGGCAGAACAGATACCCTGTCCTGCTCATTCAACTGAACCCTAGTGCTAGAAATTTCAAAGTTCAGCATAGAATGTGTGGGAGAAAGAGGAAGGAAGTATTCTATTTCCTGGCAAATACAACTTTGATATAAAAGGATTTCACTGCAATACATTCCTATATTAGTCATTTGGCAAATATAGAACCAGATGTGCAGACTGAAATATGACAAAACCTCCCTTTTAAACTTAAAAGCAGTTGGTCACATGTTGCATATTATTTTAAGCATTGTAATTACCATGCATCATAATGTGTACTGTAATAAGCTGAGCACATACTGCAACCAGGTAAGAAAATCATAAATTAATTCTCTTTAATCTCCTGGCATAAATTCCATTGCATCCAGGAGATCATAATGTCCAACATCTGGACTCATCCAATCCTCTTAAGACATTGTACTGTTTTGTTTTGTTTTTCCTGGTACTAATTGCATGGTCCCTTCAGATCAGCCATTGTAAGACCAAGAAAGTATACAGTACTTTTTATGTGATATTTGCACCCTTATTTATTGGGGTCCTCAAACTCAGGAAATATTATTGGATGGTCTTAAACTCGTTTTTGACAGAAGAGAGGAGGAGGGTTGGTTTATTTTACAACCCTCTGGTGTTATTATGGCATTTTATTTTATATCTGGGTCCAAATGATCTTGCCTATTCTTTTTCTTTTAATGACTTTTAATTCAAAGCAACTTTTGGTTACTTTAATGTTTATTTGACTAGCATTTGTAAACCTAGGGTTTTATAGACTCACAAAGATAGTGAATCTCTGTGGGTTCCCCTTCTCACTGTATTACAACATAATGTGTAACTTAACTATTTAATGTCAACCTAATGTTTCAGCGCCTTATGGGAAGCCAGATCTTAACTGAGATAAGGAGTCTGTGAACTTTGTGGTGTAAGCCAAACTTTTTCATTGTGCAGCCACAGAAAGTACTGACCCTGGCAAATTCATCTTTTTTTAAGAGATTGTTAGTGTGAGACCTCTGCTGATTCCAGAAACATTTTCCATTTCTGATGCTTACTATGTGACGTTTGCTGCCTTACTCAAAGGAGGCTGCTCCAAAATTCAGCACCTTGCATTTTTCCCCGACATGTGCATCAAGGAAAATGATGAGCAGAAATAAGTTAGATGTGTCATGAATTGTACGAGAATACATCCTGACTTCCAGATAGCCTCGGCACTGGTGAGTTCTGGGCCAGCAGCATTCTCTACATTCCTCTTATACTTCAGTTCCAAGCTGAGACTTGACCATAGTTAACCCAGAGCAAGAAACTCAGCATAATTTAAATGGCTCGTCTCAGATTCTTTAGCGAACCATATCTGCCTGTTCGAGAAATAAGTTTAATTACATGGTGGAGTTGTTAAGGGAACCAAGACTTAATTACAGAGAACAGGTTTTAACTGTTGCTCTTCCTTATAGGTAAGGTAGGCTCTGGCATGGAAAGATCAATTAAAGTTTTGCCATGGTCAGTGAGTACTTTTAGGACCACATCATTTTTTCAGATGAAGGAAAAAAGAAACTTTCAGGCTGCAGGATGATGTGGGAAGAGTAATGGGTTCTGCAGACACTATATTCTCAATTCTGTCCCTCACCTATTTACTTTCAGCAAGTCATTTAACTTCGCTCCCTCATCTATGAAATGGAGATTCGATCAGAGCTTTGTGGGATTTAAATGTTAACATATAAAACATAAGGATACATAATAGGTATGCCACACACAAAAACAACTCACTCCCTATTCATCTTTTAAAAAAACTTTTGCCCTTCTTACACTTCAGTAAACTTCTAATTTTCATCATCAAAACCAAATCTAGCAGTTTTCCAAGGTCAGGTTCAGTTTTGAAAGTGTGGTAATAAACTAATTCAACAAAGTATTGAAGATGCTTTTCCAGCACTATGCAAAGCACATAGTGGATCATAAGGCCAAGAAAACAAGTTCGGTATCTACATTGGCTTAAGTGGGTGGTTTCAGGACCCAAGCAGATGCCCTATACCAAGACAGTTATACTACAAATACATGAAAGTGATTTTATTTTAAAAAAGAAGAGTGAATGTCTCATTGCAAATCCATCACCACTTCTGGAAACGATCAAAAAGTGATGAATCCTTGCGAGCACAATCCTCCTCCCATTTCCTCCTGCCATAAGAGAGTAGGCAGTTGACCTTTTCTCCCTGGATTTGACTGTTGATTAATTCACTTTGTCAATGACATAGTTTTAAACTCTATTAAGAGTACTCACCCTCCTGTCTTTGACCAGGAAGAGAAAAAAATTATTTTAACATATCTCAACACTTTTCATCCCTCTGCCTATGACTGCAGCTTCAAGAGTTCTCTAAGGTCTGGAGGTTGATTATATGGATTAAATGAGTAAATATTTGTAATATTCTCAGAACAGTGCCTGGCACATAGTAAGTGCAATATAAGTGTTTGTTTATTGGTGAGTTAGATCATTTTCTCCTCTCAAGTTAAAATCAGAGCCACTTGAGTCCTAGGCAGAATCATCTTTTATAATCCTGCTATATCTCTGCAGTTAGAGAACACTTTCTACATGCTTCTATTTTGGCTCAGGAAGACCAGCCAGAGTGCATGAGTCTGGCAGGAATTACCGAAAGCCCACAGTTGTCAGCTGGTTGTCTCCTTTCTGAGAATACCCTCTGTGAGTCATCACATGTACCCCCTCTTTTTCACAGGGAGGCTGTGATTCTCTTTCTCATGTGGCTCATCAACTCCAGGGAGCACTGGGCTGTGGAATTCTGCACATTCTGAGCTACCCACAAGTAATGGATCATCCAAACCTAGGCACTGATTATTTGGCCATCCACACACCTGCCCCATCACACAGAACCCCTAATCCCATATGACGTAAGGTTGGCAGGAGTACTAGTGGGGAGAGGGGAGTCCAGCTGATACAGAAGCTTAGGAAGGAAATGGATGTCAGCTGCCATGGTGGCATGGAAACACAGGGCAAGAGCTGACTACCACCTCCAAGCATTCTTTGATTGTTAGAGT